GCGAAGGGTGTAAATGACGTTATTCAGTATACATGTTAGAGTATGTTTTATTATGTTCGGGTATCACATCACACTGTTATTGCCACGGTAATCCGGCACCGCCTCTGCGGTATTTATTATTAGCTTGATTACACCCCTCGACGACGACCGCCAGCAGTCGGTTTTTTTGGGGTTGATGGCGAAAAACGAGACTTGCTTGTATTTTATTATTTCATCTTATTATTCATTACAGCTCAGGCGGGCTCGGGCCCACAAGAGAGACACCCCCGGGCGGATAATGAACGCAAAGAATTTTTTGTTTTCTTCGAATCGGTTGCCGTACATCAAAAATGTCGTACTTACAAAATGAATTATATATACATGGACAGTAAACCGTAACGTGTAACGCATATTATAATATTTTCACAGTGCAAGGAAAACGTTGTACGCCCCCACAGGTCTGCGAAACTTGCCGGCAACGCGAATCCGTCGGGACCACCGGCAACGGCATTTAAAATTAAAAAATAAGCACAAGCATAACATATTACTTAGCTTCAACGCGGACCCCTAAACAGGGAACTGCTGCAATAACGGTGTGACGGAATTTTTATTTTTAAAAAATATCGCCGAGGAAAATGTGTTCATTCTTATGTAAATATTGTAGAAATGTGCACAATCATCTCGACTACACAACATTATAACGTTTTCCATAAGTTGTCTGTTACCTTTGAGATCCAAAAAAAAAAACCAAACTCTTTGGCAAGTCTTTACACGAAGCATTGTACTACCCAAAAGGTATTTTGAATTATTTAAAACGTGTGCCAGTAATTTCTATCCGTATTCGGTTGATAATTAATAAACGGATTTTTTCCAGCCAATTGAGTTTAGCTAGAACATAATTTTGAAATGTGCGTGTGAGACCCACAGCCATTGTCAGTGGCCGATTGCCGTGCGTTTTTAGAGAAACTGATTGACAGCTAACGCGAGCCAGTGAATTCGATAACCCCCTTATATTTTATTTATTTATATTTTGCTTTTCCTACTCGTCTTACTGTTAAGCTTTGGTGTAGCTCGACCGAAAAACTGGATTATGGCCCTTTTAACTGGCGACGGAAAGGTTGTGACAAAATATCATGTGTGTAAACACCCCGTGGTCGTTTACTTTAGGTCAAGTTTATATTATTAGGAAACAGATTTCCCTGACAGTAGTCATCCCCGATGAAAATAATTGTACAATATCTATATTGACTATTCTAATGATTGTTTTTTAACAGTTGAAAATTTAAAAATCGCCCTAACGTCCCATTTTTATCATTTAGGTTTAGAAATTAAACAATACTACTATTATAATGGTAGCTAAAAACGATCGAAAGTCTAATTTTTACTAAATCCAATTTTACTAGTATTATAACTGTCCGATATTTTGTTGTTACAATAAAGTAAGAGCAGAATTTTCTTCCTATCCTCCAAACTAAAGGGTCGACCAAAAAAGCTAACGTAACCAGTCTGACTGTGAATTTAACTTTTTTATGCGAGTGCTCTATGCAAATATCTCAAACAGTATTTATTTAAAATAGGTTATCGACTATATATTATGTATATTATGTTTAATTATTGATGAAGTGGTTATACTATGATGGATATACTAATAATGTGTATGACTATTAAACCTTATCCCAAACAAATATCATTTTTTAAATGTGTTTGTCTTTGCCAATGCAGTTTATTCTAATAGTTGGTACTTTGATATAATATGGCATTTTTTAGCCTTTATTTAAAAATATGACAATTTAGCTTTTGTGTGAAAATAATTATATTATATTAGAAAAAACTACACTGAACGTCTTAAAGACACTACTTTTTTTCATGAATTTTTTTGGCATTTGCATTATTTGCAAAAATTCTAACTAGAAAACTAATGAAAATGATTCCAATTTAAACATTGTCACTTAAAGTTAATATTAAAGTTGACACTTGAAAATCCTATATTTTTTTTTTTAATATTTCACGGTAAAACTTTTTTTCAACAAGTTATCAGTTTAATCGGTTTCGAAGAGATGCAAATCGATAAAAAACCACTTTCGTCGTGAAATAATATCATCAACAGAACGGTTTTAAAGTGTCTCGTTTCAGCTTTAAGAATATATTTTTATATTTGAAAAAAATACACGTCAATTGGTTTTCAAGTTGGACATTTTTTAATGAAAAATTAAAATTTCCATCGCGAGGATTTAAATAATTATAATTACTCTAGGCAGGGTGTGGGGTTAAGGTAAGGTATTTTTTTTTCGCTAGACACAGTCTAGTACACATACAAAAAGCACACAAAACACAAAGGAGTGCGTGACGGATAAAAAACAATACAGACTACTTGCAGCGCCTAATAGACATCACGTGGAATTTTAATTGCGCACATATTCTACACACAAACACAGACAATAAAAAAAAAAATTATAATAATTATAATGTAGAGTAGGTACACGTATTTCAATCTTACCCAGTCCACGTGACGTTAATTCCGCACAACCGACCTTCTTCCGGCTTCCCCTTTTGGCCCGTTATCCCTCCCCCCATATGAGGGTTGGCCGTTGATTGGTGGACCGGAAAGTTTTTTTCGTTTTATTCGCTTCAACACCATACACTGACATATACATCTGACGACTTTTTAATTACTTTCGGTCGAAGGCACGGTTGTTTTTTTTTTTTTTACATTGTTGCTTTGCTCGGCCGGTGTAAGATAATAATAATATATAATACACACACAGAAGCCGAGCAGGAATAACTCGTTAGTTCATAAGGTTCAGTATTGAACGGGCATAAGAAGATTTAAAAAAACTCGGGGGGCAGCCGTTTGAATATCAAAAGTAAATATTGGTTTAATGGTGTGGAAAAAAAAATGTTAAATATTATTCATAGATTCACCCATTGGCGGTGATCAAGGGACGGGGGGGGGGGGGCTCGGGATTCTTAAACCTTAAAATTAAAAACTAGTTGCTACATTTGGTTTTGTTTCAACAAATCTCTCTCAAAAAAAAAACGGAATCGTTTTGAAACTTTCTCCTAGAGAACGTATTGCGCTTCGTGTGAGAACAAACACCAGGTTGACTTTAGACGTATACAAACAAAACTTAGGCTCCTGCAGCGGCCACGAGAAGTAATTTCGAATCCATCATTGACCACCGCCACACGGTACACACTTTGGCCTATACCGGCTGCTGTAGTAGCGGTGACGACTACCGACCGGACGTCCGGGAAAACCCATCATTCGGAACGCTTCTAAACGTCTGTCGATTGCCGCCCTCGTCCTCCGTGCAGGTACTTAATACCGGTCGACACTAAAGTTCCGGCGAGCTCAACCCGCGTTTTAAGAGCGTTTACGGATACCGCAAAATAACCCTAAATTTCCAAACGACATCCGAACCCTTTGAAAGCTGTTTGTAGATTTTTCATTTCCACCAAAGGTCGACCCCAAAGGTTTGCACACCGATTGGCGGCCCCCTTAGCGCTAATAACGTTCGACTTGCCTACTTACTCGCTTTTGAAACTTCCACTTTGTTTGACCTCTCTAGAACGTTTAACGAAAAGTTCTATTGTTGCAGTCCGACAACCGACTCAAAACGTTCAGCAGTGGTCTAAAATGTAAATTTAGCCGAAAACTTCAGCAGAAATTGATATAAGTGTCTTGGATGTTCGTGTAAACATTATACCTCTGTAAAAACGTCAAAAACAATGTCATAGTAACTTGTTTTTCGCTTTTTCAGCCGGGTCTAACCTTTAAAGCCACTTGTGTACATCTTTAATAGGTACTAGAAACCGACCCAAGTCTATTTAATCTCGACGTTTTTGTGCACATATTCGGTTAGCTTTTGGCGATTAGTCACAGAGGTAAAGTAAACAAAACAAAATATAACCCAAATGTTTATGTGTTGTTTCTTGTGTGTTTGACGAAAATATTACTGCGCCCCATTGTGGTTAATGTGTCTGTGAAGTAGATTTTTACTTTTTTTCCCCTTTTTTTGTAATGTATACGTCCGGTGAGATTGTCGAGACACACGCAAAAGAACAATAGCCGTTAAGTTTTTATGTAGTTGTTACAGTGGAAACGTCGCGTTGGTGCTACATAAAATAACAGCTATTCCGTTTGGAATACTACACTATTCGTTTGTCAAATGGTTTATTATATCCTTGGACTTGTGTCGGGGCGACTAATAGTAAAATAATAACAACACACACCGAACCAGGTGTATTAAGTTGTATTTTTCAAGAAACTAAAAATGTCATTTAAACAAATATTACAAGTCCAGTGAAAGCTATGTGGGCTAAGACACCGAAACGCGGCGCCTTTGAGTTTGTTTCAATTAAAATGTGTTTTAATTCAATTCGATTTCAAGAAATTCAAAACTAGCCAAAAGTGCGAATTTTTGGAATAATTTATATATTCTATTAAAACCTTAAAGTGATCCCCTTAAGTGCAAATGTCATATTGCTGTAACGTTAGCTTCGACACGACCATACGTCGATTCTCAGCCATGCATAATATATAGATATGTTTACACTGCTGTATATAATATTACAGAATATAACATCATCGATGGGACGTCTATTCGAGTTGTGTGTGCCAGTCGGCCGGGCGAGACTCAGTAGACATTTTTTTTTTTTTTAAATCAGAAAATATGATTTTCCAAATGAAATCTCTTCAGACATGCATAGCTTTTTGACAGTCATATCGAGTCGGTCTCGCGCTATGTTCGCCTTATACATAAAATATACAACACACGCAGTTCGCACTCACGTGGAAAATAGCATATTTTTTATTTTATTATTATATAAAATATAGTATAATATAATGGTCCGCATGAAACTAACCTTTATATCTATAACCGTGTGATGAATAGATAAATTACTATTTTACCTATTGCCACCCTGTTTTCCGGCCCTCGGACACTACAACATTTCAATAATAATAATTACTGTACATCTATTGTCGGTTGTTATCACCAGGTTGTTTTCTCTGTTCACAGCTGGCGTGACTCTCCAAGAACTCAGAGTGCCTCCCTACGTGATGGCCGGTGCCAAAAACGGCGTGGTGCTCGACTGCCTCTACTCATTGCGTCCGAAATCCATCGGCCTGGTGGTCGCTTGGTACTTCAACAACAGCGCCAGACCCGTTTACCAGTGGATACCCGGCGAAAAGCCACTCAGCATCGGCATTTTCCGTCATCGCACCAACCTCGACTACAAGGTGTCCGACAACAACGAGACCATGCACCGGGCTTTGCACATCATTAATCCGACCATCGAACTGTCCGGCGACTACAGATGCGTCGTGTCCACCTACCACGACGAAGATTTCATGATCAAGAGGATGATCGTATACTGTGAGTACCGATGATTTCACTATAAGCTGCTTGGACTTAGTTCGAGGTGATCTGGTCAATTTGGGCCGAAATCCAACAGGATGATAGTTTTGCATGCAACTATTACTCGGCTAACTTCTAGTACATTCAATGGGTCTAATTTGATTCAATGTTCCTGACCAGCTTCTCAGCTTATTTGACGTTGCCTCGTTTTTGCACCGAGTCCTTTTTTTGACGTATCACCGATCTGGCGCCAATAAAAAATGTTGTTGTGAATGCAAGTTAATGTAAATTACCTCTCAGTTTTAAAACATAAATATGCTATAACATGTATCCAAATGTTTTAACTGATAAGTTAAAAAACAGAATAAGAATTTAAATTTGAATGTTTGTTTGGTTCATCCTGAAAAGTTGCAAAAAACGAGATACGACCCTTTTCGTTGGGGCAGTCGATATGAAATTATGTCTCGTTTTCCAATCGCTTTGCTTTTAGCTTCTAATAGGGCTATGTATAGGTTTTTTTTATCAAAGAAAAACCAAAAAAAGGGAAAAATTTCACTGATCATAGTTAGTGTTTAGGTTGCAATGTGTGATGTTGTATTTTCATTATATTGTTAATTACGATACATGGGTAACAATGGCAATATATTTTTATAGACAGACGATCAATCAATCAACCACCTTAATACTAAAAATTAATTTTTAAGCACATAATTATTATTGGGTACAATGCTTTTATCGATATTTGTATTATTAACTGTGAACACTGGACCTCCCTTACTTACTTACTACGACTACTCAGTCAATTATAATACTTTCTTATTGTGCTCGGTTTGGACTGTACTGGGTTTTTTTCCATTAAGTAAATATACATTTAAAAACCAGATTTTTCCATTTTCAGTGTCAGATATATGAGTTCACAAAAAAAAAAGAGTAATAAAATATAAACTAAAGCTAGGAAGATTTTTATGTTTGAAAATGGCTTACAGTTAGGTTATTTGTTAAGCTTTTTGAATATTGGTATTTGGTTTTATAAACATATCAACAGACTGTTTTTTTTTCATGCAATTAATAACCATTTTATAGTCTAATGGTCTATTCCTATCTCTCCATTGAAGCACTGTGGTTTCAAAGAAAATTCGATTATCTTATGTTTTTGTTTAATATTTATATTTGGACGGCCCAAAAGGGTATACGTCAAAAGGGGGACAGGTCAAAGTGGCCACGTTTGATTGTCCTACTTTGTGTGATCTCGTTTACTCGCTAGGTTAGTATTTGATTATGATTTAACTATGATAGCCCATTGGCGTTATGTAATTCTACACGGGACCAAATTGTTAGGGATGGTGGGACTAACGACATCCGGCTATGAAGTATGACTTCTAAATGATTGAAGTTTATAGGTTATTATATAAGTGATACGATGGGTCCGCCGGGAACACCAGATATTCGGTCGTTGTGGCTGTGGCACAACAAAAACGATAACCATAGTACGACATAACTAAGCCATTAGTTATAATAATATAACACAACGGTCGGTGATTATCATTGACAATAACGGCCGATTTATATACTGTCCATTGTACCCCGATGGTCGCAAAATCTGTTAATCCTTATCCCGGTTTGGCGGAGGGTTACTTTTTAACCACTGGCTGTATATTATATAGATATATATTTTGATTCTGTGGGTCAAAATAGGCCACAAAAGATACTTAATAGGACAAAAAAATGAAAAAAAAAATACCTCTTTTCGTCAAAAACTAGAAAAATCAGGGTTTACAAACGTTATTAATAAAGTTACAATAATAATTATAAAATGGACATTTTCGCCAAAAATAAATCCTCGAACAGAGAACGACAAACGAAAAAAAAATACAAAAGTTTTGAACTCAAGCTAAGGACTCTAAACTTAACTTAATCTAAACGTATCGGTAATCTTAATAATGTTATATCAACAATGAACGAGTGGAAAAACATTTTTTAAGATTCAGAAACCGAAATTGTTCAACATGTTTTTGCTTATAAAATATTATAGAACAACCAGTGAAGTGAAGTCATAGTAATGTAAGGAATGTAAACATTTGTATTGAATGTATTTTATACATTTTTTGAATTGAGAATAATCCAGTAAAATTTGTAATATTTCTTAAAAAAACAAATATTTTCAAAAAAGAAAATTTAATGAACTGTTAGTTGTAAAATGTCTACTAAAAAATGTACTAAATGACCGCAAATAATCTCAATTAGTAAATATCAACAAGTACCTAGCACAAGTTTAATTATAATAGAATTATTTTCTTATAATTTGTTTATGGGTGGTTTTTTGTATTAAAAAACTAGTATGACCTATTGGTTTAAAAAAAAAAAATTATAACATTATGTTGTAGTTCTACAGTAGATCTAACTGATTTATGTTTGGACGTTTTTAAGGCCGAACTGTTTTTAAGGCTACTGTTCAAAAAACAAAATATCAACAAAAATGTTCAAATCTCCTATGACAGTGGATTAATTAAGTTTTCTTCTTCTTCAACACTATATTATTAACCTGTATGATACCCGGAAAACATACCATACATGTGTGGAAGTATTTTTTAAAATTGAAAAATGTTTTTTTTAAGGGACATTTTTATTTATAAATACATATATAAGTATATTTCAGATAAGATTTCTGATGTATAGACTTGGTACGCTAATAAATGATTTTTAAAGACATCCAAGAGTACAAAATCACCATATAGAACAGATAAAAACAATGTTCATCTTTCAACAAATACCTTCTCGTCGACGCTCAACGTTTTTCGGCCAAGTCTTCTCGCCAATGGGAAAAGCTCTGAATAAAAGTCGTTACGGCCGAAAACGTTACTTGAACACTTGTATACTTACGTACGTCTCAGAGACCACTTGGATGCATTTTAGAGCCGGTAGACAAATTAAATTCCAAATTAAAGTCACACAGTAGCCAAGTGCAGAGCATTCGCATTCGTCCAAAGTCTAGTGTAATCGCGTAGTTAATTAGTATATACCGTCCTGACGTAACTCGATTAACTGTTGAATTTTAAGGACATAACGCAATTAAGTTTTCGGGCATTAAGTATATTCTCTTGGCGGCTTCCGGTGTGTGTTAATTAAAAGCCGGCGAGGTGGGCGAATGTCGTTAAAACGAGATAAAGACATTTTCACTCCGTTTGCGCCGCTCACGACGAAAGTGCGACAAATTATTATACTTTCAACCGACGACGACTCGAATGGCGTTTTTAAATGTGAGCTCGGGGTGAAATTAGTTTAATTCTTCTCAGTTCATCCGGAACGATAGTAATAATAATAATAATAATAATACTATTATTCCGTCTCTCCGTCTTGTGTTAACTGCAAACGTTATAAACTCGAAACCAATCTAGATCGCATCGCGCAGTGCTGTATAATATAATTATTATTGTTGTTACGAGTATTGTCTTGTCGGAACTGGGAACCAAAAAAAAAAAAAATATTAAATTAAGAAAAGAGTCTGCGACAAACTTTTCCACGGTCGCCCGTTCGGCAAATCACAAAAGTTAATTTCGTTGTAAACAATAAAGCAGACGTCTTATAATAATAATTGTCATAAAAAAAAAAATATCAAACAGAAACGCGACGACTGACTCAATATCTTTGAAAAATAATTGCAATTTTGTAATTTTTTTTTTTTAAACATTTTTGTTAAAATATACTAAATATTTATCTTTTCTTTTTTTCTTGGTATTTTCCAGTGGTCTGTTAATTTTTTTAATTAACAATGCTTTCACCGGTCGATAACCAGTTTTGAATAATTATTAATGTTAAAATTAAGAATGGTGGAGTGTAGGGCTTTTTTTTCTATCTGAGTGCATTGCTCTACCGCTCTTCGCCTCCCGTTAGTATATTGATATAGTTATATTACAAACACAACATTTTCTAATGAAATAAATGAACAATGATTACATTTCACGGCATTGAACTAATGAAAAAAATTCTTTTGATAGAGCTTTTTGTGTCATATTTTCTAACATGAGATTCCGTGCTTTAAGTGTCAATTCTAAAGGCTAAAGTAAATAGTGTGCAATATAAAACCGGATAGTCGTGCCATTTTAACTTTATATTTTTATTTATTTTTCCAGTATTATTTTGTACTCGCCTCGTAAGCGGGTTATCGACCAGTCCAAATTTTCGGAACACGATTCTAAATTAAAAAATTTAATTAAATATGTACCTACGTTACCGTTGCCATATTAAAAGTTGATACAGGTTTGGAAGAAAGTAAAAAAGATACAAATTTGAACATTGTCTAACACTGTAAACCGGCATACATTTTAGTGTCTCCAAAAAGGAAAACTACAAAATTGCAATCAAACTTTAATAGGCATTGAGTGTCTAACCGTTTATTTGAGAATGTGACCACTTCTCCGACAAGTTAATGTTTAGCCTTTGAGGTTTTTTTTTTGGGGGGGGGGGTAAATTTTCAAAAGTTCTATGTAAAAGTCTAACCGTGCATTGCCTGTTGGCATGTAGTCACTGCAATATACCACAAACATACAACTGTACACCGCATTGCGCTTGCATAGATAATACCGTCGACGATTTCCAAACATTCTGGCCGTGTCTAATCCATATCGACTGGTTCGCCTGAAACATTCCAACGGGATTGTTTCAACCGCATTAACATTGTGCTGCATCGTCAGCTCAATCATCTTTCTCACTCTCGACATTTCTATTGGTTTTCATACAAATACTGAATCCGTCGTATAGTGACAAATAATTTAACAGGGACTTCCAAAAGCAAGTGGTGTAATAAATAAAATATACGAATGGTCGGGATTTGGGTATGGGAAAATCAAATTTTGATTCGACGGTGATTTTATTTTATGAAATTTTAGCTAAAACAATTTTAAGAAAATTCGGTTGACGAGAGATAAGATTGTAGTGATATTAAGGATAATTGATGGAGAATCGCATGATAAGAAATAAGACAGCTGTTTTAACACCGGTGAATGACAAGAAGGCATTTT